TACCAGAGATCAATCTAACGAATAGGGGCATCTCACTCCTCATCTCGCTTCTCTAGTACTATAGTTACCTTGAATAACAGATCCTACCGCTGCATAATTGTGCATCGGTCCACCACCACATAGCTGAAACACCTACAAGCGTAGTACTACGCAGCTAGAACTAGATGCAGCAGCAAGTATCACAGATGAATTAGCACGTAGGAAACATAGTTTCAGCTCATGAAGGATGGACAAGGAATGAACCATCCATCACGTGTAGCGTGCGGGGAGAGAAGGAGGGGGTTGCAGGGACAAGTAAAAAGAGGAGCTGTGAAGTAAGTAGTTACAAAGAGATCCATTTTAAAGCCAAGGTAGCCCCTCCTCCCCATCTATCTCTCTACTCTTTATTTCTTCTCCTGATCAAAGGCGTTGCCCCTTACGTCTACCACCTGTCTTTTGTGTCACATCTGTACAACAACATCCCACCCATCATACCCACCTGGTATATACCTTTCAATCAGAAAATTCCGGATATACCCTCAACTAAATAAACACAATGACCATCACCGAACCCACCACCTCCCTCCCCACGCACCAACGCGCCGCCATTCGGCAAGGCACCGGCCCGACCTCCACAACCACTATCTCAACCATCCCCGTCGAGAGACCCGGCCCAGGCCAAATCCTCGTGAAAATCACCTGGACGGGACTCTGCGGCTCCGACAAGGGCCTCCTGCATGACGAATGGGCCGGGTTCGGGGTAAGTATGAGGCCCGAGGCCAAGGGGATTGCCGGCCACGAGGGGGTCGGAAGAGTAGTTGCCATAGGCGAGGGGATGGAGAAGCGATGGAAGATCGGTGACCGAGCAGGGATTAAATGGATTGCGAGTGTGTGTGGGGAGTGTGAGTTCTGTTTGACGGGGACGGATGAAGTGAATTGCATCAATCAGAAGAACAGTGGGTTTACGATGCCGGGGACGTTTCAGGAATATTGTCTTGCCGATGGACGGTATGCGTCTAGGATTCCGGATGGGGTGAGTGATGAAGAGGCTGGGCCGATGATGTGTGGGGGGTTGACGGTTTATGTGGCTTGTAAGAGGTTAGCATTTCTACCCTTCCTCTTGGGTGAGGGCTTGGTCTGATGAATGATGTTCCAGGTCGAATGTCAAGGCTGGACAGTGGATTGTCCTCCCTGGTGCTGGGGGTGGGCTCGGTCACTTGGCTATTCAGTTTGCGCGGGCCATGGGCATGAGGATCATTGCTGTTGATAGTGGGGAGGAGAAGCGCGAGCTGTGCCAGCGGCTTGGGGCGGAGGTGTTCATCGATTTCCAGCAGACGCCTGATGTGGCGGCAGAGGTCATGAAGGTCACCAAGTATGGTGCTCATGGCATTATTGTGACGGCGGCCACAAAGGCTGTTTATGCGGCGGCACCGGGGTATCTGCGGCCGAATGGTACTATGGTGGCTATTGGGTTGCCCAATGATCCTACGATCTTGGCTGGTGCACCGCCGCTGATGATAGCACTCAAGAAACTGAACATCGTGGGATCCATAACTGGCACTTTGCAAGACACCCAGGAGGCGCTGGAGTTTACTGCGAGAGGCATTGTTCATGTGAGTTCTGCTGTGGTCTATATTGGAGTACATTGTGCTGACTGTGGATAGCCCGTCTTGACCAAGGGTAAATTGGAGGACTTGGACTCATGGGTCGATAAGATGGCCAAGGGCCAGCTGGCTGGTCGTACTGTCCTTCAAGTGAGCAGTGATAACTGAGTCCAGCGTCCAGCATCAAGGTATCGGTTGCCTGGAACACTTGATCCACGAATTTTTTGGTTGGTTTGTGTACTGCAGAACAAAGCAAGAAACCTGGTCATTCCTGTTTCATGTGAGCTCTCGAACTTAGGGTCCATTGCTCCCCTAAAATCATCAAATAAATTGTATATGCCAAAATAATATTCCAAAACAGCCAATGCTTTTCATTCAGATAACTGCTCGTATATGCAAACAAACACCTAAAATTATACAGTCGTGTTAAAGCGGTCCTCCTCGTCACCAGCCTTCGAATACGTCTCGCGCGTGTCCATCTGTTCCTGCTCATCCTCGCCCAGCTGCAGGTTCTCACGCTTGATCACCTCTTCCTCCGTCTCGACAGGAGCTGTGACCGGGGTCTCATCTCCGTTGACGGCCTCAGTGGCAGGAGTAATCGGCGTCGACGACTGGGCCGCTCGCTTTTGTGTGGTATTCACCAGGGGAGTGTCATCGTTGAACAGACGCTGAAGCATGGCGCGACGGTCCTCCTTGGGAAGCATGAGGTTGACGGAGTGCAGGGACCGCCAAAGAGGCAGGGTCATCCGCTCGCTAGTACTCGTTAGTCTGTCTGCAGCACTTTATAATATTCTGAAGCATGTCACTTACTGGAAAGTCTCGTCGGCATCCGGCTTGATGTGCAGGATACTGCAGCCCATGGGGATGTCTCTGACCCGCTCGCCGATCTCTCCAAGCTCCGTCCAGCTATCACCGTCGACCTTGGGGAACATCTCCACGAGAAGTCTGTGCAGAGTCTCCTTCTTGGTCAGGGTGACGGCTCTAGCAGGGCCCAACCAGGGGTTGAGAATCCTCAGTCCGTCAGTCTGAATGCGCCAGCGGCAGACCTCAGGACGCTGCACATCTTGGCGCACGAACATCTTGACACCACAGTGCACGAACTTCATGCCTTGCTTCTCGTTCGCGGTCAAGATGTCACGGGCCAGAGAGCTGGTGTAGTAGATGGTGCGAGCGGGGATTGCCTCCGCATTGCGCACCATGAAGCGGTCCCGAGGGAAACGCTCAGAGATCTCGTAAAACTTGTAGATCGGGTCGAGCTCTTCCTGGTTGGGATCCAGATACTTGAAGGGCTCCTCAATAGGCTGGCCGTTCTTGCGCTTCTGAGGGGCAGCTTGCGGCTGGGCCTCTGCGGGGGCGGGCTTCGCGGACTCAGCAGGAGCAGGAGTCGCATCAGAGGTCTCGACAGTATCGGACTCGACCACGGGCGCAGGGGCATGAACAGGGCGGTCACCCAAGACAACTTCGGAGCCGTCCTCGAGTTTCGTCCTCTTCGCCGGAAGCTCGTCTTCCAGGCTGTCTGCATCCCTCTTGGCGGGGGAGATCTGGTCAGTAGCAGAGTAGGGGATCTGGTGGGTAGCCTGCGCAACGGATGCGTTCTTTTCGGCTTCCTTCTCAGCCTCCTGGTCAGGAGCAACCAAGTCGTCCAGCGCGCTGATCTTTTCCAGAGGCTGGCCGTCTCCATTCTTCTGCTTGAAGTCGAGCTCTTCCGTCAGGGCAGCAATGGAAGCCTTGGGGATGACCTTGGAGGAATCCTCAGGCTTGGCACGGATTTCAGACACCTTCTCCAAAACGGTAATGAAGAAACCGCCAGTGTCTTGCATGTGGGGGTAGATACGGATACACCTGTCGAGGGGCAGATCCTCCGTAGGGGGGAACATGCCCTCAGCAACCCGGCCAAGGCCACTGATACCCTCGCGCTCCTTGCGCTCTTCGACCTCCTTCCAGCTGTTGTACATGCGACCCTCACGGTCCATGACCTTCCATGTCTTCAAGCCAGAGGCTCTCTTCAGTCCTGGAAGCTCATTGCTGCAGTCGAGAATGCGGACATTGACCGAGCCGCAGCGCTCCAAAGCGCTAGCAATGACGGCTTCGTTCTCGATGGGGTTCATACTGCAAGTGGAGTAGACCACACGGCCACCGACCTTCAACATCTGCAGAGCGCGGACAAGGATCCGGACCTGAGTGGCGTACAATCCCAGAGCGTTGTTGTAGTTCCAGTCCTTCCAGACACCCCAGTTCTTTCTCGCCGTTCCGTCACCGGTGCAAGGCACATCAGCCAGGATGCGGTCAAACTTGAGGTATTTGTTCTTGACGGGCTTTCCTTCGGGAGCGGGCTCCGGAGGCAACTTGATCGAGGGGAACATCGTGGCGTCGTGGTTCGTCACGATCAAGTTGGGCGAGCTCAGTCGCTTCATCTGGTGGATCAACATGTGGGCGCGCTTGTAGTCGGCGTCGTTGGCGATGAGCAAGCCGGTGGTTCGGCCATCGTCACCCAGACCTTCCGGTCCCATAGGTTCGGCGGAAGCGGTACCCTCAGCCACCTTCGCGGTCACTTGTTGCATAGATTCCTCCTCGCCGGCGTGGATCATCTCCATGAGCTGTGCGGACTTGCTACCAGGGGCAGCACACATATCCAGAACGGTCATGCCAGGCTTGACGTCAAGCAGAAGAGGGGGGATCATGCTGACTACCTCCTGTCTGCTGATGTTGCCGACCTCGGTCTCGGCGACGAGGAATTTCTGGAACGAAGCGAAGGGGGCGAAGCGCCGAACGACCTGCTTGGGGGTGGTCATGGACCAGGCGAGTTGGTCGGGGTACCAGGGAACGGGACGGGGAGGCTCGACATCTTTGCCCTCGTATTTGATCGAAGTGATTTCGGGGATGTAGAAGTTCTTGAGCTTTTCCTGGACGGCTAGCGCATGGCTTGAAGCGAATGTCAGTTGCATTGACTCGAACGATATCGCAGGAGCTGCTATAGTCCAGCGCAAGGATAAATAACGTACCCACGAGACCCGGTGAAGCGGAAGCTGTTAGGCAGATCCCTCCTGATGGCCTCCCAGAAAGCCTCCCTCTCCTCCTCGGGGATAAATCCCTGCTCGTTGTAGTAGCTTTCGAACTTGGCGTTTTCCCTGGCGACTTGCTGCCAGTTTTGACGTTCGCGACCGCCGCCGCCCTGCCGAGATAATGAAGTTAGTCCCCACCCACGATGGAAAGCAAATGCAAAATTGACGAGGTAATTATAATCTCCCGGACATGCAGATTGTCTTACATACCTTCTTTCCACGCTTACCCATGATGATCAAGATTAATTGCGATGCGAAAGAACCAGACGAGCTTCCGCAATTTCTCCGCTGCAGAAATCAATCCATCGCCAATCGCGCCTCCAATCCGCCCGCCATTATGTAAGCCCGTCCCGCCATGGAACATCCTCGGGCCGGTACACTAGTGAACCGGATGTAGTTAGCCTTTATTCACATGAATTCACCAGTTGATGATCGCTCTTAAAACCAGAGACCGGACCAGACACCAAGGTTGTCTTCAGGGAATGACCAGCTGCATAGATTGGACGCCAATGTGCACAGGAAATGATGAACTCCGAATATATACATATCTACGATCCCTCCCAGGGTTAGGTTATAACCACCGAACTGGACGGAATCTGTAGCTGGAGCAGTGTCTGTGTAGTACCCTAGGAGCACAGCAGGATAGAACCAATTTCAAGCGCCACTTAGGCCAACCAGGCTCACTTCGTTAAGCTCCGAAGATCCTTGGCCTTATCAAATGCTGTCGGCCAGATAATGAGTGCAGGTAGCCCTTGCATTGATTGGCGTCAATATTTCCTATGCCAGCAAAGCAATCACCGCCTCTGATGCGGGCGTGCCTCTTAAGCGGTCATTGTCCGGAGAGCTCAAATCCGTGGGACTCAATGTCATCTAAATGTGCAATTATATCGGGGAAAGAAAATGGATACAGAGTTATCGGTCTACTCAACATTTTCCGAGGAAACCACCGAGCAAGAAGATGACAGTATATACTACCCGGAAGGAGGTCTCCAGGCATGGCTGGTGGTCTTCGGCGCATGGTGCGCTATGGTCCCAGCCTTGGGCTTGATGAACACTGCGGGAACACTCCATATCTGGACCAGCACCCATCAGCTCAGAGACTACCCCGAGTCAAGCTATGGCTGGATTTATGGTGCATATGGATTCTTCCTTTACTTTGCCGGAGCCCAAAGTGGTGCGTTTTTCAGCGTCAAGCTTTGAGTATGACGGACTGATCACCTTATTGACTGTTATAGGGCCAATCTTGGATACATGGGGCCCAACCTACATCATTCTTCCAGGGTCCATCGGCATGGTAGTATCGCTGGTATGCTTCAGTGTTAGTAAAGGTAAGCTTTCAGAGAGAATAGCAGCAGCATCGCAACTGACTATGTGTAGAATACTATCAGATCTTTCTGTCTTTCAGTGTCTTGGGAGGAATATCGGCTAGTGCTCTGTTTACTCCGGCTGTTGCAGCAATCGGCCATTGGTTCAACGTCCGTCGAGCATTTGTCACTGGACTTGCTTGCACAGCTGGTGGACTCGGAGGTGTGATCTTCCCTGCGATCATTTACTTCAATGCGCCAAAGATTGGATTCGGCTGGTCGATCCGAATCATCGCCCTCTTGAGTCTGGTTCTTTGTGCTATCGCGTGTCTTCTGATCAGGACCCGGCTACCCCTCGGTAAAGAAACCGGGGGCAGTGCGCTAGCAGATTTCAAGGCATTGAAAGATCCCAAGTACGCCGTCACCACAGCCGCGATATTTCTTGCTGACTTTGCCGTGTTCGTACCAAACACATACCTTTCTTCATATGCAGTCCACGTCGGGTTGAGCAACACAGTTTCATACTTACTGCTTGTCTTCCTGAACATCGGACTGATCCCTGGCCGTCTGTTACCGGGCCTAGCTGCTGATCGCTTAGGGAGGTTCAACATGATGGTTGTTACGTCCCTCGTATGCTCAATATTGACCCTTGCATTGTGGTACAAGTCTGGAAGTAGCTTGGGTGCAATTGTCTGTTATGCCGTACTGTTTGGCTTTTGGAGCGGAGCTGCCATGAGTCTGTCCCCGGTCTGTATCTCACAGATCTGTGCAACCGAGGACTACGGAGCGCGGACGGGCACAACGTATACCATCGCCAGTCTCGGCGTACTCACGGGGATTCCGATCGCCGGCGCAATCATCCAGCGCGATCATGGGCAGTACGGCGGGCTCATCATCTTCGCGGGTGTGCTGTATCTCGCGGCAGCAGCAGTGTTTGCCGTAGCTCGGGGGATTTGCAGGGGTTGGTCGTTGAAGACCCGGTTCTGACCAGGGCTCTTCGCTCGGAGAAGAGCTTAGCCAGTCTCAGCCATCCCGGGCCTGCCCCGTGCGTGGCTTAGCAGGGCTGAGTTGAAGCACCACTGCAATAAGCAGCGTGGTATACATGAGAACAGATAGTGCGGAGTTCAAGCAACAGCCTGTCTTGCCGTTATTTGCTTTTGTTGACAGGTGGAAGGTTCCGTATAACCGAAGCAAAATCATCCTTCTGGGTGACAGTGTGTCCAAGGAGCAGACCAGCCCGTTAGTTCCCTAACTAGTGCCTAGCATCCCTGTCGAGCTCAGCTCCGCGAACTCAGCGGTCTGGCTGTTGAGCCTCCATAACAGTGTCAATAGCAGTCACAATCCGCCAAAGAATTGCTCTGGCCTGATCAGCCGCACAATCAAACTACCTAGTCCGTCGTTAGTGTTTTAGACCAAGGAATGGGAGCACCAATACCTACTAGTCACCATCATCCCAGCCCAGCAAGTAGAAGCCGCAGCTGAACATAATTTAACTAACGGAATTGGCCAAGCAATGCACCCTATGCCATTGAGGCAGTGGCTGATAATGAAACCATTTCGACCCGAAAAACACGGGCTCTAGAAAAGCTTAGATTGCATTGTTAGTGTCGTGTTGTGTATTGTTGCTAAGTTTGTTCACATGGATAGACGGACCCTATCTATCTAGGCACACTAGGCAGAACCGACGCCCAAAAACCGCGGTCAATCAGTCAACCCGCGAGCGAGCCCTGATCGCGATCCACGCCCGTGTTTTCCCTCCCGCGATGCCCCTAAACACGATCTCGTTACCTAAACATCCACCCTTTAACCTTCATGTCTCAACCTTCAATACGAACTGCCATCTCTTCTTTCGGAATTAATCACCGCGCATCCTCATATAATACTCTTGTCCACCTTAAGACCAAGAAACCAAGAAAACCTAAAACAACCCCCCACCCCTTCACCATTCTGACTGTTGCAAGCCCTCGCTTACGCCCTGACAACAACCCTGACTGTCACCCATGTTTGAGGTTCCTGTTGGCCCCCAAACCGAAGGGCCGAAACCAGCTATCTAGATAGGTAGAGATAAACAGCCACTACTAAACTCGTCGAAGCTAATTCCTTGGCCCGATCCTATTCATCTACCCAAATCAGCAGCAGCCAGCGAACGGCCCCTTAGATTCCTGCCCTTACTTTCCCTATACTAGTCTAAGGCGGATGGATAGCGATCAACGGCTGTCTGTTTTTGGTTTCCTTGAACGCCAACCAACACTAATGCAAGGCTGTGTTCGTGTGTGGAGTCTGTCCTGGGGCTGATTTTCGTTTTGTCTCTTTGTTTGATGTGTGACTTTCATTTTTTTTTTCTCGAGTCACTGTCAGTGCCGTGCGATTTGCATCGCCCCCATGCAAGATCGGGCGTAATTGTAACCAGAGACAGAAGTTAGTTTAGTTATAGGGGGGGAATGGTGGGTTGGACAAGAGTTATAAGACCCGAGGAGGTATGCTTTTGCTGACTGGGGGTCAGTATCACTTTCTTTTATTTTCTACTATTTTAAACATACTCGATTCCTTTGATTCTATACATACATTCGTTCAATTATTTCTTTCTCTTTCCGATCCACAACACTTTGAGATACCCATATAAATACATCTCGCTCACCACACAATATACCCAATTACCTCAATCACCACATCCAAAAATAAGTAATAAATCAAAATGAGCGAAGGTCAAGAATGGTCCTCCGGTTTCTGGGACTGCTGCTCCCCCTGCGGCACCTGTACGTCTTTCCTCTCCCTCCTCCCACATCAACAACCAACCCCTAATCCCCAAAAATAACCAAGCTAAACAATACAATGAACAGGCTTCCTCGGCTGCTGCTGTCCCTGCTGCCTGCACGGCCGCACCAGCTCTCGTCTCGAAGACCCCACCCTGAAAGATGATAGCATGATGAACGGTGGTGTACGTACCCATCCCACCAAACCTATCCCTCCTCCCATACAACCAATCTAATACTGACAATGCAATTCAGTGCTGCCTCTACTTCCTCCTCGGCTACTGCGGCTTCCACTTCATCCCACTGATGATGAAGCGTGGCCAAATCCGAGAGAAATTCGGCCTAGAAGGGTCCGGATGCGGGGATTGTATGCGGGCGTGTTGCTGCCCGTGCTGCACGCTCATGCAGCATGAGAAGGAGTTGGAGAGTCGGGCGGCGTTGTTGGAGGGCGGTGCTGGTGCGCAGCAGGGGTATAAGGCTCCTGGGGGCATGCAGTATGCTTAAATCTCAACTTAGGAATAATTTTTGGGTGATTTTGTGTTTGTGTCGTCGAAGGCATTGGGATTTTGGATCATAGTTTTTTTTGTTCCGTGATCGGTGTTTGTTGGTGTTTCGCTGTTTGATTATATTTCTCTTGGGGTGAAAATACACGAGCGGTGAACTGATAAACTGACTGGTGTTGTTCTTCTACGGTGTAACGGTGCAAAACTGAAACTAAACAAATACATTTTGATATAGCGACAGTTGTGTACTGTACATGACACGCTCCTTCGGGCACGACCACCGCTTCTATCTATTAGAAAATCACCAAAACAAGAAAACACGGGCCATAAATATTCTTCTGCTTCTTCTCTCACTCGCACTCTCTCAATCCACATTCATGAGCTCTCCCTTTTTACAGAGAGTTGCGGCTCATGTCCGCACGGATACGGTTGTAGTCGAGGACGGCCTCGATGCTGCCGACAGCGCTCATGGCAATGTCCTGATCCCACAGCTTGCGGGAGGCGAAGTCCATGACATCCTTCTCGGTGATCTGGCTGATCGTGCGCTCGATGTCCTCGGGGCTGAGGCGGCGGCCGGTGGTGATGATCTGGCGACCAATGTCTTCGGCAACGGCGGTGGTGCCGTCGAGGGAGAGGAGGATGGAGGCCTTCAGCTGAGCCTTGGCGCGCTCAACCTCAGCGGAGGTGACGTTGTAGCTCAGGCGAGACCATTCACGGAGGGTGAAGTGGATGAGGTCCTCGAGGCGGGTGACGTTCTCGGAGGTCAGGTAGATACCCCACAGACTGTATACCAATTGATTAGCGAAAATCTTTGAAAACAAACAGCATATAACCTACCCAGTGTCGCTGTAGCTGGTGGAGAAACTCATGAAGCTGTTGGCAAGGCCGTGGTACTCAACGAAAGAGCTGAGCTTGCTGCCAAGGTAGGAGGAGTTACCCATGGCACGGTCCCAGTTACCGACGATGGCCTGGGTGACGAGAGCGGTGAAGTAGTCATCGTCCTTCCAGCTGACACCCTCGACGGCAAGGGCAATGTGGGCAGTGGGGAGGGTGTCGTCACGGATTCTGACCTCGGAACCGATGAACTCGGGGATACGCTTCTGCTCGGCGGTGAGGGCCAGGGCAGCAGAGGTCGGGGGCTTGCTGGGGAGGCCACCGAAGTGCTCCTCAGCGAGTCTCACGAGCTGCTCGTGGGGGATACCACCGGCACCAACGAGGACCATGCGGTCAGCAGTGTAGTTGGTCTTGATGTAGTCGACCAGGTTGTCACGGGAGATGGTCTGGATGTTCTGCTTGGGGCCGAGGATGGTGCGACCGAGGGGCTGGTTCTGGAAAGCAGTGGCGTGAAGGTGGTCGAAAACAACCTCCTCGAGCTGCTTGTCGACCTCCTCCTGCTCACGGAGGATGACGTCGCGCTCACGCTCGATGGCAGTGGGCTCCAGCTTGGAGTTCTGAAGGATATCGGCGAGGATGTCGACGGCCTTGGGGACATCGTTGTTGAAGGACTTGGCGTAGTAGACGGTGTTCTCGCGCTGTATTCATGCGGCGTTAGTTGCGATCCAAGGGAATTGATTCTTCCATGTTTCCGGGCCGTACCGATGTGTAGGCGTTCAGGTGAGCGCCCATGTTCTCGATCTCGAGCTCCAATTGGTGCTGGGAACGCTTGTTGGTGCCCTAGTTGATGTCAGCAATCGCATTTCCAGGCCACCAATTTGCAAGTTTTATATACCTTGAAAGCAAGGTGCTCCAGGAAGTGCGCGGTTCCGTTGGTCTTGTCAGTCTCTGCCCGGCTACCGGCATCGATCCACACGCCAACAGTGGAGGTCTGAGCCCATGGAGAGTACTCAGTAGCGATCTGAGGCAAGTCAGTGAGTTCCTTGAGCCATTGAGATAACCCATTCGGCGTACCGTGAAACCGTTGGAGAGAGTGGTGGACTGGGTGGTGGAAGGCAAGGTGACCGGGGAAGCGAAGCCACGCTTGACGGGCTGGATGGCCTTCAGGGCGGCCTTGCTCCGGAGAGCCTGGTTAAGGTTGAACGCTAGGCGCCGAGAAGCCATTGTGTGAAGATGGAGGTGGGTTGGGGGAAAGGAGGGAGGAATGAGGAAGGGTGCAACAAGACGGTCAGGTCAGCCCTGGAGATGCGAGGTTGAAGTTCGGGAGTCAAATTGTTCGCCCATCCGCCAGCCAATCACATGACCCGCTTTTCCAAACCACCGCATTCGCTCCGACTGTTCCCTAGCTTCTTTTGCTTAGACAGTTGTTGCTACTAGCACGGTCTGGAGACCGCCATTCAAAAATGTACAACATCAGTTAAATCCAAACAGGGTCTATACTCATCAAATGATATCAACAATCAAATACCAATCTCCTACTTTGATCCTCCTCACCATAATTACTACATATCACATGACTCCAGTATACCCAAAGCAGTTAACCTCCATACAATGAGTCCCAATAGCATATGAATCAATCACTTCCATTACTACCATCATCACCACTGAATACAACCTACTCACTCCCCAAACTCTTCGCATACATCTCCACATTCTCCCTCATCGACACATCCCCCACAAACCCCAATTCTAACGCCCTCTTCGTATCAAAATTGGGTGTCCACGTCTGCACAATCCGATCAATATCCGCATCATACCTCTCCTCCACCAACCCTCTCCTCTCCTTCCCCCCAATACTCTCCAACGCCTCCAACATCTCCGCAATACTAACCTTCAACCCAGGCAAGTTGACCGATCTCGAATCCCCAAACTTCTCCGCCGGTATCTCCCTCGCCTTAACCAAATTCCTCACCACCGTCGCCGGCGAACAAATCCACATCTCCGTCTCCTTAGCAACGGGCAGCACCGCAGGCCGACCATTAAACGGCTCCCGAATAATATCACTCGCGAAGCTACTCGCCGCCTGTGTCGGCTTTCCCGCTCTCACAGTAATAGTGGGGAGACGGACGGCACGACCATCCAGGAACCCGCGACGGGAGTAATCATTCAGCAGCGTCTCGATGATGAGTTTCTGAGATCCGTACGACGAGGACGGCACGGCGGGGAAGTTGCTCTCGTTGATGATGTATCCTGGTGGTGCAAGCCCATATACTGCTAGACTGGAGGTGAAGACGACTTTGACGCCGGGAGTGACGGTGCGGAGGCGGTCGAGGATGTAGCGGGTTGCGTCGAGGTTGACGCGCATGCCTAGTTCGAAGTTCGCTTCGGATCCGCTGGACATGATACCGTGGAGGAGGTATATGGTGTCGTAGCGGTTGGTGGAGGTGATGAGGCTGTCGACTACGCTTGGGTTCGTCAGGTCTGCTTCGATGCATTGTGCGCGGGAGGCATCTTGGGCTGCGCTCTTGGGGACCGTAGGAAGAACGACATCTGTAAGTGTTACTGTCGATGATGGGAGAGTGGTGAGAAGGGCTGCGGCGAGTTCTTGTCCAACGTAGCCGCTGGCTCCGGTGATGAGTATGGACATGTTGTAGTCGTAGCTGTACTTGTAACTGTAAATCGATAGGTGTGTTGGGAGTTGCCAGATATGTGGATTGCTGCAGATTGGCTTTTGGGGTAAGTGATAGTGATGTCGTATTATATGACTTCTTATATAGTAAAGGCAGTCAGCCTACTGCGGGGTTGAGCGGAGACTTCAGAAAAGCTACTGCGAATGCAGTCATTCAATTGCCTCATCTCCAATCCAAAGTCCCTCACTCATCTTGAAATCGCTCAAAATGAAGCCCCTCATTAGTCCAGCATCATGGATCCACGCAGCAAGTCCGATTAGTGGAATTTATTGAGGCATTTCGGTCTGTTCTCCGCTAAACGGTCCGAGTGCCGAGATGTGGGCAGAAAGCGGATGGCCGGGGGAAGTCCGAGATGGGATCAACGTACGATGGGCTATGGGTATTGTCTAGCAACACTACACGTTGTATTACACAAAAGAATGGTGAATCATTGACCAGCTTAATTAGCAGCTAAACTCTTGAACGACCAGAAACCGTAAACCTCGAAATTTTCTGACTCAAGAAGTACATCTAAGAAACCTGGACATGAGGACACACAAGGAAAAAATTCGAGAAAAATTGCAACAGATCACGGAACACTCGACGCCGTAAAAAGGGGAAGCATAATTATGACATGAGAGAGACAAAAGAGCAAAAACCACCGGATTCTTTTTGTTTCTTAAATTCATGCAGAGCGCTTGTAGATACCAGACACTATACAGTGGTCACGTTCGAAAGGCTCCAGGGTCAGCTGTTCCCTGGGCTTGATCCTCTCCTCTCTCATCTTCTGGACTTCACGAGCGAACACAACCTCGGGCTTGGCGGTACTGTCGATACAGTTGGCCTTGACGGAGACAATGACACCACCGCCCTCCTTGAGGAACATGTGGGCGTTCAGGCCGACAATACGGGCCTGGTCGGGCTGGGCAACATCGGCAAAGATGACATCGACCATGGGGACGAGCATGCGGTAGCGGAGAGGGTGTCTGGCGTCCTCGACAATGGGGATAACGTTGGTGCGGTGGGTAGCCATGCCGATCAAGTCACGACCGGAACGGTGGGAGAACTCAACGGCGTAGACGTTACCAGTAGGTCCGACGATATCGGCAACGTGACTGACGGAGGTACCACTGGCGGAACCGAGATACAGGACCTTGGAGCCAGGGCGCATGTAGATGTCATCCAGACCACCCAGGATACCGGCAGCCAACTTGGAACGGAAGGGGTTCCAGACACGGTATTCGGTCTTGGTAACAGTGCCATCCTCCTCAGCGGGGGACTCGACAGAAATGCGCTTCTCACCGTAGACGGCCTCTCCGGGAGTAAGGTTCTTGGTGACGAGCAAATCTTCCTTGCCACCACGGGCGACGAAGACACCAGCGTGACGGTGGGGTTCCTATGCGAATTCCTGTTAGATTCCATCCAATTTCCTTCTTCTCGATTGGATAATCAGGGAACACCTACAATGATGACCTTAGCACCACCCTTAGCACCCTTAGCACCGCCGCGACCACCGCCGCGAGGACCACCACGGCCACGGGGGGCACCACGACCACCGCGGGGAGCACCACGGCCACCACCGCCACGGCCACGACCACCGGCACCAAGACCGCCTATAGAACGTG